ATTCACACATTTAAGATATTAAGCTGATCCCTGCTGTGCAACAGCTTGAAGCGTGTATTCCAACACCGTCCTCAGAAAACTATTTCACGTGAGCCCAGGGCTGCTAAGAGTAAAAGGTGATTTTATTAAGTGTGATAAGACTTCCAAAGACCATGAAAAGAAATAACCCTTCCTCAAAGATCAATTGCTAACATATTTACATACAATACACAAAAGTACTGCCAAAGTAATTTAAGAAAACTTTTTTTTTCAAATTGCCCCCACAAATATCTACTGGACACATGCTACATCGCACTCACTATGCTTTATGACAGTGTTATTCTAGAAGGATTCCTGAGGTGGCCTCCACGGATCCTTCTCCTGGTGTTCACACCCTGTTGTGATTCCCCTCCCCTTGTGTGAAGGCAGAAGCTTGACTTGTTCCCCACAAACAGAATATGGCAAAGGTGATGGGATGTATGTAATTATGTGTATGTGATTGCATGGTTATGTACATAAGATTATAGTCCCGTCTCGCTGGGGTCTCTCTCCCTTGCTAGCTCCAAGGAAGCAGGCAGTCATGGTGGGATAATGAAGGCAAGGAAATGAAGGCGGCTTCTTGAGGCAAAGGGGGGCTCCCAGCCAACAGCCTGTTGGGGTCCCAGCCAGAACTCAGCAAGAAAAAGAATCCCTCGGTTCTACAACCACAAAGAATTGGATTCTGCCAACAGCCTGAGTGCACTTGGAAGCAGATCCTTCTCCCACTGACCCTCAGATGAGGCAGCTCTGGCTTCCCGCCCGGTTGCCTTGTGAGACCTCCCCTGAGCAGAAGACACTGTTTAGCGGAGCCTAGACCCCTTATTCACAAAAACTGGGAGATGACAAATGTGTGTTGCTTCAAGCCACTAACATTGTGGTAATATTGTTACAAAGTAGTAAATAACTAGGTCCTCAGTCTTTCTTTGTCTTTCTTGACCTTGAAGTCTTGGAAGCATACAGGCCAGTTATTTTGTACAAAGTGCCTCAAACTGCGTGTGTTTGTTTGGAAATCCCTCAATCCGATCCTCAGGATTAGATTTAGGTTCAGGAATAACATAGAAGTGATGTTGTGTCCTTCTCAGAATATCCTATTTAGAGGTTTATATGCTTGGTTTGTCCCAATATAAGTGATATTAAATTGATCACTTGGTTAGAAAGGTATCCATAAGTTCTCTCCATTGTAAAGATACTATTTCCCCATGATGACTAATAAAAAACTTATGAGGAGATACTCCATTCATCATCAAACTCTCACTGATTAGTTTTAGTAACCATTAATGATTCTCTTACTACATAATTCCTTTTGTATTCATTAGTTAGCATTCTACTGTAAGGAACATTCTCTTCTTTCCTATTTACTTACTTATCTAGTGATTGACTTATAGCAGAGTGAAATTACAGTTTCTTATTTTAGTCAGCTGTTAAAATTTGTTACTATTACTGTATCCCAATTTTGATATTTAAATTGCCCTAGATTTGTCCATTGGAAGCTCCCTGCAGATATATCCTCTGTCCTTCTGATATATTGCCATCTTTTCAAGCCTTTCTAATTTTCTAGCAAAACAAGATTTTCCAGGCTTATCTAATACTTTCTGTGTCCTAGACCTGGAATTTTTTCTCCACAGACTTCTGATTCCTTTTAAAGTGAAGAATGGTTTTTAGACACCAAAATCTGGGTACTAACTGTACTCATTGCTACTGGAATGTCATAGCTTCTAGTACTTCTCAGTGACAGAGCTGAAGTAGATACAGAGATATATCCAACAAAATATGTGTAAGACAAATATACTAAAAACTACATTACTGGGAGACATTTTAAAAGACTAGAATAAATGGATAAATCCACTATGTTCATGGATTATAAGACTCATTATTATTAAGTTGTCAATTATGAAAATGTCTTAGCATCTTACAAGGCTGCAAGTCTATATATTGGCTGGGATTGTGGTCACATCTGGGGCTCGAATGGGGAAATATCGACTTCTGCACTCACACAGGTTGTTAGCAGAATTTAGTTCCTTGTATTTGTAAGACTGAGGGATCCATTCTCTTGCTGACAGGAACTCCTTGTAGGCTGTCAGCTGGAAGGTACCCACAGCTCTTAGAAACTGCCTGCATTTCTTCATCATGTGGGATTTCTCCCCGTGATACAACTCACACCCACACACAACCCCACATGTTTAATTTTTAACCTCCAATTCCATTTCAACACCACAATGTACCTTCTAGTCTTCCCCCTTCAATAGTGAGGAAACTGGATCATAAGTGCAAATATATTATAAGTGCAAATATATTAATTTTCTCAAGCCTGGAATACACTGGAAGGTTGCAAAGGGGACAGAATATACTGTATGGGATTTGAATGAAAAAAAAGCAGGTCAGTCACTGATATGAGGAATTCTTAATCGCAGGACACAAAGTGAGGGTTGCTGGAGTGGGGGGTGGGGTGGGAGGGATGGGGTGACTGGGTAATAGACACTGGGGAGGGTATGTGATCTGGTAAGCGCTGTGAATTGTGCAAGACTGTTGAATCTCAGATCTGTACCTCTGAAACAAATAATGCAATATATGTTAAGGAAAAAAAAAAAAAAAGGAAGAAGAAGAAGGTAGCAGGAGGGGAAGAATGAAGGGGGGGAAATCGGAGGGGTAGACGAACCACGAGAGACGATGGACTCTGAAAAACAAACTGAGGGTTCTAGAGGGGAGAGGGGTGGGAGGATGGGTTAGCCTGGTGATGGGTATTGAGGAGGGCACATTCTGCATGGAGCACTGGGTGTTATGCACAAACGATGAATCATGGAACACTACATCTAAAACTAATGATGTAATGTATGGGGATTAACATAAGAATAAAAAAATTAAAAAAAAAAAGCAGGTCAGGAAAGATTTCATGACTCCTGTAATTCACATTCCTTTTTTTGAGAATTTGATCATCATTGATTTATTTTTTTCTAGTTGTATGATCAAAACCTCAAGAGTAGAGGTAGGTAGAAGTCAAATCATGCAGAACTTTGTAAGCCACATTAGAGAGTTTGGGTTTTATTCTACTACGACGGGAATTGGAGGCCTTTCTGTTAGGCCTCCATTGTGCATTTGTTTGTTGTAAATAGCATGAACAGCATTTTTAAAGTTATTTCCTGATAATGTTTATTATTTACTCAATCTTCAACTCATTCTAAAACAAGATTGGAGATGCTTAGGGCAATCCATACCAGTAAGTTAAAACATTAAAAAATCTATCAGATAGGGATAAAAAATAAAATGGAGCTGGGAAACAAGAGGTCAGGGTGAGGTCACCTTTAAGAACTTTAAAGTTACAGAGATTTGTTACAAATTTTATCTGAGATCTCTGGAGACTAGAACAGTTTGAAATAACTCATCCCCCAAACCACTGTGATATGCTCACTTCAAGTAACCAGCCTTCACAAGAACCCCCAATCTGCCATGTATACCACACAGAATTCAGACTCGCCAATGGCAGAATCCACGGATTGTTTTTCTTGCAGTAACTTTTCAGAAAACTCTCTGGTTTCTGATAATTTAACCCTTTCAGGTTAAGAGAAAAATGGACAGTTAGATAGTGCTTGTTTATTTAATCAAGGCAGCCAGCTGAAGCAAACAATTCAAGCCAAAAATTCACTTCATTTTTTGTAGGAAAGTATAGTTTTAAATTATAACTGACCCTCTGTTAGGAGAAAGGCATGGATTTCCACAGGGAAAAACTGAGCACTGAGGACAAAGTCTCGAGTTCACGAGCACTGTAATCACACATCAGGATCACAGAACTCGCATTTTAAAATCCGATATAATTTATTGCACATTATTTCACATTCTACTGCTTTGCTTACTTTTTGTTGGTTTGTGGTTACTTGCATACATCAGTAAAGTTTCAGAAAAACTATAATTGTAGAAGGACAATTATTTAATGCAGGAAGGATAAACCATTGCATTGGCGGATTGGAAGACATTTTTTAAAGTTCTTATATTATCAATTTAATTATGCATTTCTATGTAGTAATACTCATTCTATGAGTAATGTCTAACATTCTTGCCAAGAATAGTTTGAAAGGACTTTGTTAAAAGTATGTCAGCTAAATCACTATGGGTATATCACTGCTAATGGTGTCGTTCACACGTTGTGAAACATACAACTCCATATTTCATTCTGCCCCCAAATTAGGTCATTGCAAAATACCGTTATTAAAACTGCAAATTGCGGGACAAGGAGATGGAGATGAGAACAAAGCAAAAGGAAGACACCAATTCCTTTTTGGAAAGCATGATTGGGATAGGACAAAATAGAGTAGGAAAGCTGAGCCCTTTGAAACGGATACTTTTTTGTGGGGTGTGTGTTAATTCCATTTAAATATAAATGACTAATAAAACTTGGGCTAACCAGTCTGCTCTGTACTATCCCCGGGTAGCGTCTATGCTCTCTAACCTAATTGTACAGAGGTTCCCTTGTCTTCTGACTTCATACACAAACCATGATGATTACTTCAGTTTTACCTTTTCCTTTTCCCAGAAAATCTTGTTGCAGTCATAAAAAGGGAATGTTTGATGCAAAGACGCCTACTTTATAATTATTTGTGGTTATTAACAACATAGTAATTACGGAAATGCCTTTGTTGGAAGTTACCCACCAGGAGCCGCAAATCCGTGGCACACCCCCCCGGGCTGCCTGGGCTCGGAGGAAGGTCGATCCCTGCACCTTCCAGACCCAAGCCCTGGGGAGGAAAGCGAGGCCGGGCGGTCACTGTTCACTCAGACCTGAGAAAAGTCGCCAGGGTAGCCGCACCTCTTACTTTTGGTGGAAGGTTCCCCTAACTCCAGCTTTCAGGACTTGGGATGGGCGCACACATCGCGACTCTCCCTTTCGTACTGTGGGGCACTCTGCGAACACACCCCCAGTCACCTCTGCGCGCTCCCCCGGAACCCGCTCAGCCCACAGCGCACCCCAGCGGCCGAGCGGCCTCCTTCCAGCGGCGGCCACTTAGCGGCCGGAGAGCTCGCCAGTTGCCTCCGCCGCCGCCTTGGAATCTGGGGACCCGACAGACGGCGAGACCCAGCCTCCGCCCGACCCCGGCGAGGCCGCGCGGCTGCTGCGCCTGCCCCACCCGCCGCACCTGGGAGCGGTGATCACCAGGAGAGGTGGGGCGTGGCGAGCGGCTGGCCGGGCGCCGGAGCAGCTTCGCCAAAAGCCAGCCGGACCGGCGCAAGGCGGAGGGGGAGGGTCTCGGGGCAGAGGCCGGCTCCTCCGAGGGAGAGACCCCAGCTGGGGTGGAAAACGGCACAAACCAGCTGCACAGACGCTGGGCGCGGATCATGGAGCGGGCCAGCCCCGGCTCCGGGGAGTCGAAGCTGCAGCGGGACCAGGATTCCGTGGAAGCGTGGCTGGATGATCACTGGGACTTTACCTGCTCTTACTTTGTTAGGAAAGCCACCAGGTAAGAAGAGGACCCCTGGAAGACCCACCCGGGGCGCTGAGAGTGACCTGGGGGCTCATCTCTCTCCCTTACTGAATTTTCCTCTTCCTTTACCATTAAACGACCTCGGTTCCCAGGCCCTTTGCTTTTGAAGTAGGTCTTTGGTCCTGTTAGGGTGTAGACACCTCGACTTTATGGCTAGTACAGTCGAAAAGCCCAAGCGTGGGATTCGATCCAACTTGCTCAAAAAGTTCAATGCAAAAATGTACATGTGGACCCCCCCCCCACACACACACACACAGCCCGGCTGCCCCGGTATTCCCTGAGAGCAAGATTATTTACATACATCCGCGCTCACGGGCCTTCCCCCAGCCCTTCTTTAGCCTCCTAGTCCCCCTAAATCTCCTCAGCGAAACCAAAACAGTTTTGAGCCCCTTCCCTGCGGCTCCGGAAGCACCATTTCCAACTCGGTCCCAGCAGCTCCGCTCCTCCCCCGTCCCCCCTCGCCCTGGCCCTTGGCGGGCGGGGAAGTCGGGGTAGGGGCGAGACCACGAGGAGCCCAAAGGCAGCAACATGCCGGAGTCTTCCCAGAGTAAGCGCTGTCGCCTTTTGCCCCTTTCCAGTCCCTTGCTTGGCCCGGCGCTTCCTTTCACTCTCTCTTGCTCCCAAGGCGGCGCCGCTGAAAGGGCTCCGCAGAGGGGTTCGCGGCGCGCACACAAAGGGCGCTGGGGAGGCGCGGCGGGAGCCGACAGCGGGGCGCTGACGGGTCCCGCGCAGCCCCAGCCGACCCCAGAGGCCAGCTCTTCCCGGTCGAGAGCCAAGCGCCGGGCGGCCGCTGCCGAGGGCGGGGAGGAGGGTGCCTGTCCTTTGGGAGGTGGCTGCCCGGGGGGCAGTTGGGGCGCGCGTGGGAAAGGCTCCCGTAGAGTTGGGGAGGAATTGAGGTTGAAGCCGAGGAAGGAGGGGCCGGAGCAGAGAGTGGAGGCGGGCGGATGCCCTGAAGCCTGAGGAGTTGGTGAGAAGCCGCTGCGCGGGCAAAGGCTTCTACACGCGGACTCCGACTGACTCCAGGACGCGCCTCTTTGGAGAAGAGTCCCGGACCCGCCGCCGCCGCCGCCGCCGCCTCCAGGCAGCGGCCGTCGGGCAGCCGGCGCTGGCTGCCTTGGCCGCCAGGAAAGCGCACTCAGGGCGGTGATGGTGGAGCGGCCGGCCGAGGCTCGGCGCTGGGCTCCCCCCCGCCGGCGTTCGGCCTCCGCTCTGCCGGGCGCTCCCCGCCAGGGGGCGGCGCAGCGCGGAGCGAGCGGGCTGCGGCGGGCGGCGGCCCGGTGGCGGGGTCGGTAAGGGAGCAGGCTTGGAGTCACCGCCTCCCCTGGGCACGTCGTCGCCCCCCGGCGCCTCCCGGAGTCCAGAGTCTGCGGAGGCCGCGTGGTCTGCACTTCGACCTTCCTATGTTTGCTGTGTTGCCCTTTGGAGACAAAACAAGGTAGTCCCTTCAGCATCCCCCCACTTGCCACTTTACCTTGGGGGCGCGGGGCTGGGTGCTGGCTGGGGGCGCCCAGCGGGGGCGGGGGGGCAGAGGGATGCTTCATTGAAAATGGACTGTCTGATATTTTTGTCTTCCTTTATTCTCTTACGGTGTATTCCTTTGGGATTTTAGAAGGGGCTCTTTTTAAGGCAGTTTCTCCTAAACGAGTTTGTGTCGATTTCATCCCTTTCGGGGGTTTTGGACCGAGGCGATAGCTTAGGGCAAATCTTATCTCTTCTGTTTAATTACTCCGCCCTCCTTTTAAAGTCCTCTTTCCCCGCTTTGGCTGTCTTCCTTCAAAATCTGAATCTGGAGCAACCAGAGGATAAACCCTGAAAAGAAAAGTGGTTTCTTTTCAAAGGACAGTTTCCTGCGAGTTCGGGGTGAGGCACGAAGGCCATCTAGATCTGGAATTATTGATTGTTGTGGGCCCCCAGTTTTCAAAGGTCACCTGCTACTCCGAGGCCATCTGTCCCTAGTTTCCTTTCACCCTTGCACACTTCCACTTTTCTGCCCCCATTGAATGGGGAGCGGGCAGGAGAGCTGGGCTGATTTTTTTCAGTGTGTCAGGCTGTTCTTTGGAGATGTTCTGTAGGCAGATTATTAGTTGAAAGAAAAAAGTGATTTGTCTTACAAATCAACATCAGTGTCCTCTTCTTTTTTTCCTTCTCTCCCTTTAAACACAGAAACTTAGGATAGTTTGGTGATCTTTTTAAGTAGTCATACATAAGAACACTTCACTCAGAGCCTGCCAAATCTTTGAAAGTAACATTTTATTGGAAGTTAAATGGAAGGGGTTACATTTAATTTTCTTTTCACATTACCTTTTCTCCCAAGTAGCACAGGATTACAGTCCTCATTTCTCAAAGTTACACTTTTCTGTGTAAAATTCAGATCATCTGAAACTCTATATAAAGACTTTTTTAGTTACGGTTTTTATATTATAGTTGATGTTGACAATAGGCTGACCACTTTCTATGACATGTATGTGTATATATATTCTTATATATTTCTAAGAGTTTATGTTGAGTAAAACTTGGAAAACGAAAGTGTAAAATATTTAAGAGTAGTACAGGCCCTCATTAAGTATAAAGTGCTGAAAGTTGTCAGTTTAAAGAATACGATCTAAGAGCTTGTGTGTAGTCAGAGGTTCCTGTTTGGGCTTATATTTGGTGGCATTAACTAGAGATTTAAGATTGAGAGATTAGACAGTAGTTGATTATAAAAATTCCAAACTTCTAAACCCAGTGTGATTCATATGGTTGTGGTAAAAACTTATTGCAGACATTTTAACTTTATAGCTAGGATTTTTTTTTTTTTCTTTTAACTAGAAGCTGTTACTCTGCTTTTATCCTGTTTGTTACACTCTGTAAGTGTAAAATGAGTACTGTGTGTGATTCAGGACCCCATGAGACAGTTCTGTAGAAACATTTAACATGTTTTTAAATTTAAAATAAATTTGGATTCACTTAGATTGGCCATCTGTGCCGGTAAACAGGCATGTTGATGGAACTACTTCCATGCATGACATTCATGCATGCTTTTTTATCCTATTCCCAAACTGAATGATCTGTACTCAGTAGTAGTCACTGAACAGAATGAAGGTTTCTGGCATCCCTAAATTCTCATTTAAATACCCGTGAATTTTGGTTGACCTTGAAAGCAGTTCGGCTGCTATATTACATTGTTTCCTATAACTATCTTCAAATACAGAGCTAAGCACCTAGTTCAAAGCTACAAGCTTGGAGCATAGATGCTTTTTAGTAATCACAGCCTGTTTATGTGAATTTGAGTGTCAGTTGAACAATTCAGAACATAATCTATTGGCATAAAAATTAACTGGAGACTAGTAAACTACAACATATGGAAACTCCCACCCTCACCATTCTAGACAACTTTGCAGTTCTACCCGCCTGAGATACTACTGTGTTAATTAAGGGCTCTAATCTTCATGCATTTGCAAATGAAGGCTTCCGGGTGCTAATGCCACTTTAACAGCTGTTGTTATTCTTGACAGCATATTAAAATAATGTTACCTTTCATTAGTTACTAATCATTTCTGCCATTGTGGGTTATGTTTTAGATCATTTAGTATTGTAGGGGTAACGTGATTGACTTCTTATTGCTTTGTTTTGTACTAGGCAAAAGCTTGAGAATATTTGACATATAATGGAAATAGGAGTTACTAATGAGGACCAGTTTGACCGCTTGGATCAAAGTCCAGAAACCGAAGTTTTACACTTCCATGTAACTTTCTATGAGAGACTTTTTACTTGACACTGCAAAACTGTGCTGAATTAGTTGACATTCTGGGTCCTGTGTTTGAGACTTTTTTCTTTTCTCTTTTCTTTCTTTCATATTTTTTTCTTATCTCTAAAAGCTGTAACATTTTTATTGGCAAGATATTTGTATTAAAATCAGATGATGGATATAAAATAAATATTGCCATCCACTTTTTAAAAACACTGTTTCTGTAATTACATAGGAATATCGTTTTCAGTTTTCAAACAAATGATTTGTTAAGCATATTTTATTAAGCTGTCAGTAGTGTTGAAGATAATAAAACCCTGTGGTTATTGACTCAGTGTGACTTTAATATTATTTATAATATTTTTTATGATGGTAATTCTGATGCAGTAATGACCTTTTCTTTTTGTATTGTTTATAAACAGGGTTCATATGTGTATCAGATTCTTTCCTCCTAAAAGAAGCTGTAGGAGCCCTTATAATGATGTTTCTCATTGCCCTTCTATCGCTAGTGTTCTCAGGGTTTCAAATTCAGATCCGTTTTAGAGTCTGCAATGCAAGGTCATGATTCCTAACAATGTGGTAGAATTAATGCAGTGGCAATTATTCATATTTGCATATCTCAAAATAAATCTATTTGCTTAGCTAACAAAAACTTAAGTAGGCATATAGTACAATTCAGTAGCTTTTTTTCAGATCTGTGAAAATGGCTGATATTTTCATAAGATCATGTTTTCAACACCTCAAGGTGTACAATTTTTAGCATTTTGAATATGGTGTGCAACAAAATTTTCTTTTAAAGTAATTCCACGTAAATATTTAAGTATTTAAAATATCTGAAACTGACCCTCCCCCCTCTCATGTGCTCTCTCTCATTCTCTCTCTCTCAAATAAATAAATTCTTTTTTTTTTTTTAAGGTTTTTATCCATTTATTTGACAGAGAGAGACAATGAGAGAGGAAACACAAGCAGGGGGAGTGGGACAGGGAGAAGCAGGCCCCCCGCGGAGCAGGGAGCCCGATGCGGGGCTCGATCCCAAGACCCTGGGACCACGACCTGAGCTGAAGGCAGACGCCCAACGACTGAGCCACCCAGGCGCCCCAATAAATAAAATCTTTAAAAAAAAAACCCAAACCAGGTTTTGGCGTCTTCTTCCCTCAGGCCGGTCTAGTAGACCACAACTACACACGCCCAGCCGGGACCCTGCGGAGCTTGACCACCCAGAACTGGGCGACCACGCCTACCCCCTGCGCCTGCGGACAGGCCAGCTCCGAAAAGCGCCCAGAGGACCTGCAGGCCCCGCCCCACGGGGCGGGGCCTAGAGGCTCATCGCGCCTGCGCCGAGGCCCGAGGGCGTGCTGCGCCGTTACTTTTGAAACGAGTGGCGGGGAACTGCTGTGGGCGTCTCCGCCGTCGCTCTCTGCCGGGGGGAAGCGCACTCCTTCGTCTGTAGGACTGGCCATGGCGCTGCAGCTCTCCCGGGAGCAAGGCATCACCCTGCGCGGGAGCGCCGAAACCGTGGCCGAGTTCTTCTGTAAGTCCTCCTCGCGCAGGCCGGAGGGCGGGGTGAACTGAGGCCAGGCCGCCCGGTAGGCCCGTGGCTCAGCCACGGAGGCGGGGGAAGCGGTAGGGGGCGGAGGGGAGGCCGCGAGGCCGCGAGGCCGAGAATTAAGCTCTCTCTGCCCCAGCCTCCTGCCCGGCGGGAGAATCTAGGAAGAAGCGGATGCAGACGCCGCCTCCGGGCTCCTTGCTAATGGTGGAGCTTGAGGCCTAGGTGCTGCTGAGGCCTGCGGCGCGATGTAGCCCCTCCACCTGCAGCGTTGCTTTCAACTACAGAGCCAGGCCCTTTCCGCCCGCCCCCAGCCTCCGCGACTTAAGAGGGCGTAGGGCCGGGGTGGGGGCCACGTATATTTTTAACAACCCCTCGGCCCCTCTTTGATTCTGGTATTGGCGGTGATGGACTAGATTTAGGAAACGCCATTCCGGACCAGGACAGTTGTGCCTTCTGATAGAATCTGGCAGGACTTGTGAGGAGAAAAGGAGGAAAAAGAGGGAAAGGTTTGCTGAGAGCATTGCAGAGAACAGTTAATCAGTTGCTAACTGAGATGCAAAAGCCTATTTTGACACCCTCTAACCACATAATCTGAATTGGGACTTGGATTACAGTGAGTTGTAGTACTACTTTGACAGTAGATTAATGCCGTTTGGCGCTTTTCTCTTTTTTTGCCACAGAAATGCAGGTATCGTGTTCTCTCTTAATTAGAAGCAAGGTTTTAAGAATGTTTAATGCCACTTTTTACCTACTCTGCTTTCAGCAAAACACCCACAAACACGTTAAGGCATTTATGGTTTTATACCATTAATGAAACGTAGCCACATCTAAATATGTTTTATTTTCCAGAGTTACAAAGTGATAATGACTTTTCTTTAACATTCCTTTTGTTTCCAGCATTTGGCATCAACAGCATTTTATATCAGCGTGGCATATATCCATCTGAAACCTTTAATAGAGTGCAGAAATATGGACTCACCTTGCTTGTAACAACGGATCCTGAGCTCATAAAATACCTAAATAATGTGGTGGAACCGCCGAAAGGTATTTAATTGTTGCAAACCATTTTGAGTTTTGCAGGCCTTGTAGAAACCCATATTTTCTGGCATCTTGGTGGTCATTTTTCAGCTCTGTACAAAAAGGTATAAAACACTACAGCCTCAAATATAGTGATTCTTAATTGGAAGGAAGCAAATAATATATAAATTGAAAGAAAGTCCACCCTTCCCATACTGCAGTTTGAGTGGGTTGAATATTTTGATATTAGGAATCTGATATGGCTTCACAAAACTGTCTCCATCAACTTCCTTAGAAATGATTTTTGCAGTTCATGTAGCCAGATGGAACAAGTTGGAATTTTCTGTCCTTATGATGGTGTTCACTATCGGAGAAAAATCCACTGTATATTTTTAACATATATTTTCTGTAACTGCCTAGAGTTTAAAGCCATCATTACTTAAAGGAAAATAAAATTGGATCCAACCTGGAAACTAAACTTAAAGAAAAGAACTACTAAGTAATAGAGCACCCAGTAGAGTTTTATTTTTTATATATTTCCATTTGTCTTTTTTAAAATCCTGCCTTTAATCAGTAAGCCTTTTCTATCTGAACACTCACTGTTTTTCTTTAGCTCAAGAAATTACTGTATTGAATCAATACTTGTTCTCCATCTATTCCTTTTTCCCCTCATATTTTTCTCTACTTAGGATTCTCACTTCTAATTTTTCTGTTGTAGGATGTTTCTCCCTAGCTCCCCATTTGATCTTCCAAAACTAGTTCCAAAAAACACTAGTCATCATTTTTTCTTAATTCATGAGTCATATATATTTCTTTGTATCAAGTAGCTTTATTTTTAAAATTAGATTAATTGGGTTTTTTTTTTTGGATTATCTTCAGGGCTAAAAAGTAAGATTATTAGTAAGCAACTAATAATCTATATCATCTTAATTTGATGGAGAAGCAAGCCCCACCTAAGCTACTGGTTTTTGGGTTGTCTCCTTTAAGACTACACTGAGGATATTTCTTCACCTCGGATGTATGCAGACCTTCCTCTTTAATTTCTCCCTTTTATTTTAGTTAAAATGGAGGAATTGCTCTTCTTAGAGGCAAATTGTTCAATCTGAATCCCCATTCTTCTAGCCTTAAGGATTTTATCCTAGTTCTTCTCTGGTATTTTTGATTTCTTTGTTTTGATCTCTCTTCAGTTTTAAAAGAAAAAAATTTCCACCCACCCCAAATCCTTAAGTTACTACCCAATTTCTTCCTTTTCAGAGCTAAATTGAGAAAAAGTTGATATATGTCAAGAAAAAGTTGATACATACGACAGCCCGTGTCTAGCAAGTGGCTATTTTTGTACTGCCTGCAAACTAAGAATGTTTTCAGATTTTTTTTTTTTTAAGATTTTATTTATTTGAGAGAGAGAATGAGATAGAGCATGAGAGGGGGGAGGGTCAGAGGGAGAAGCAGACTCCCTGCTGAGCAGGGAGCCCGATGCGGGACTCGATCCCGGGACTCCAGGATCATGACCTGAGCCGAAGGCACTCGCTTAACCAACTGAGCCACCCAGGCGCCCTGTTTTCAGATTTTTAAAGGGCTGTTTTTTAAAGACTATGCAACAGAGACCTAGGTGGCCCACAAACCCTAAATATTACAAAATTGTTTTGTCTCTTAAAAAAAGAAAAAAAAACACTACAGATTCCTGAGTATACTATCCCAATTTCCAAGATTAATTCAGGGCTTGTCCTGAGGCCCTCTTCTCACTATAATCTCTCTCTAGGATGATCTCTGACATGTACATAGCTTCACTAACAACCTTGGTGTAGTTGACTCACAAATGTACATCCAACCCAATTCTCCTAATTGTGCTCATATATTTCGTGGCTCCGTTGATATCTTCATCTGGCTATCCCAGTGATACCTGAAAACTAAACTTAAGGCGCTCCTGGCTGGCTCAGTCAATGGAGCATGCAACTCTTGATCTCGAGATATTAAGTTCCAGCCTCATGTTGGGTGTGGAGATTACTTAAAAATAAAATCTTAAAACTTAAGCATCATCTCCCATTTGCATTCTTTTTCTCAGTGAATGGATCAGCCATCCAACTAGCGATATAAACTAGGAAGTTGGGAGCTATCTCAGTCTTTCTTCTTGCTTACTCATAAGTAGTCAATAAATCCTAACAGTTTTAACCATGAAGTCTCTTGAATCTATCTACTGATCCATCTCTACCAGCTTATCCTTCTCTAAGCCTTCATTACCTCTTGCTTGAATTGCTAATTAATTGGTGTCTCTAGATCCCCTCTTTACCTCTACTCTGCTTTCCACATCACAGCCAGAAGGATAGTTCTGAAATACAAATTTAATTACATCACACCATACTTCAAATACAGTAATGACTTCCCTGGTTCTTGAAGTGTAACTTCTTTAATTTGGCCCATATGGCCTTGCATGGTCTGACCCCTGTGTATCCTACACAAACTGACCTTGTTCATTCTCCCCTTTCTTTACTGCAGTTGTATTACCCTTCTTTCAATCCTCTGGTCAGATGCTCTTCCCTTTTCAATATTTAAGACCTGTACTCTTTTCTGTATCATTTTGCATATTTAATGATAATTTATTTGTAGAACTGAAGTTAAGTGAGAACTCCCTGAGTGAGTCCAATTTTCCTCTCTTATGCTCTC